CAAAATTTAATTCTCTTGGACCCAGATAATCTTTTCACTGCACTGGGCTTGCTCAATTCACGTCATAGTCACAATTAATATTAGATGTGGTTCTTATGTATTTGCACAATTCTAATTGGTGTTTATAGCATCATTAAAAGACCCTCTAAATTATTTTTATTATATACCTATAATCAAGAGCATTTGGTATTAGCCTGCATGTGTTCAAATGTTACCTTTCTAAAGACATTTGAACTCAGGTGGGGAATATCTATCTCCACAAAGTCAATTAAGTAAGTTCAATGTTAGTGAAAACTGAGACAGTGTGGCTTAGAAGATTAAGTATAGAATTTCCAATTTAATGGTTTGAGTGTGTACTTTAAATCTGTGTAACTGGCTTATTCTGGGAATTGAGGCCTGTTGCGTTTCTCAGAGAATGATGGTTCTACTACCAGTACCCTTTAAGAGTTAGATCATTAGGGTTTTTGTTATTGTTTGAGACTAAATAACAAATGAAGAAAACACATGTTCAGATACAAACCACCAGAAATATATTAATTTTCACTGGAGTGACAGCAAAGGCCATCCACAATAAAAATGAACTGCTACGTTATTTGCCATTTCCCAAGTATGGATTTAATGTACAACACGTGCATTTCTTGAAACTATTTCTTTGCTAGTAAGAATTATTCCCCTAAAATACTCGCCCAACAAAAAGAAAGGTGACATTATTGATTTTCAGAATTTTTATTCCTGGTATGTCATTAAGCAATAGTGGAAAGAAAATCAGACTTCAAAGGAGGATGGTCATGGTGGGGAAGGTTGAGCTGGCAGATGCAATGGACTGAAGTTTCTGCGACCCAGTGTGCTGAGCGATAGATAAATCCAAACAAAAAATGACTGGAGAAAAGCAATAGGCAGGGAACCTTGCTGGGAAAAGTGAAAACTTCTAAATATGGGAATAGCCTATGGAGGATGACAGGTACGTTTTCTTGGGAGGTTAAAGGTATGGCGTGCTAGCTCTGGGTAAAGCTCTTATCTAAGAGACAACAGAAGGTCTTACTAGGCCAAGCACATATACCCCCAAGCTGGATTTTTTTTTTAAAGAAAGCAACAGAAACTCAAAAACTACAGTTTGATCCTTTGCCCTCTCAATTTTAAGGCCATAGCCAGTGCTATATGCCTTGTCACTGAGGCATTGGGTGTGCCTTAGAGGGTCAGACTTGGTTCTGCATTTGCAACACAAGTAGGCCCAGCGGCTGATAAGGAGCCCCTGAGTGGGAAGCAGCCGGCAGCTAGTATTGTAAATGGGGAGGAAGGTTAAGGATTTTAGGACTGACTTGTGATAGGAAGAAATGTATGTTTCGGTTCTTATTTTTAGTGACTGGGATTTTGAGGAGCTTTTTGTGGGTCTGTGGTTCAGGACTCCGGTCAGTGGGACATCATAGAAGCAGCGCAGGCCGAGAGCTGCCCGGTGCATTCTTCCTGAGCTCCCCTGTGTACTCTCCTTTCTCGTTTGTAAGATGAGAATAAGATCCCCTGCCAAGTCCTCAGACTTGCCACGACAGTCAAATGAGCTGTTAAACCATAAGTTCTTTTCCAGATACCTGTGAGTGCGTGTATGATGTGGTACCAGATTTTACTCTCTAGAGTCACAGAAATCTTTGTTTAACCCTCACAAGAACTCTTTGAAGTTGTTATTCCCACTATATAGATGAGGAAACAGAGGCTTAGGCCAAAAAAAAAAAAAAGTAACAAAATTGGGATGGGTCTGATTCCAAAACATTCTGGAATCATCGAATGTGTGGTTTTCTACTTTTTCCTAAAAGAGTTACCTGTTTCTTTCAGTGGCTTGTGTTCCAGCTCACCACTGCAGGCCCTGTCTGAATGATTGGAAGTCAGCCCTCAGTTAGGGAAGCAAGCCTTAATTATCACTGGGGAATAGAGGGCTGCATCTTCCAGGAATTTGGCAGACCTCAGCAGGAGGCAACCAAAGGCCTTTGGCAGGAGATCACTTTTCAACAACACTGTCAATTCCAGCGACCCCCGACCTTCCACCTGCAGGTCCCAGAACAGCTGCTGTTCTGTGGGAAGCTGCAGCAGTCTGTCTTCCTTTAAAAGGCAAATGCACACCCCTCTCCCTGCCACCTGCGGAGATATCCCACCTGGGACTTCATCCCCAGAGCCGTGGGTCATCTCCCATATCAAGAAATTAAGAAACATAAAGGAGGAGGGCGGAGGACAGCTTTGATGAGAGACCCCGAACGCCCCCTTTTAATATAAGCCAGATTTAACATATGTCATTCTGTAAATACAGGGGTCCAATTTGAGGCTTATAATTTACTGCAACCTTGCTTATTCCTCAAAGTGAGGTGTTACTATGCCAAGCACATCAAGGTAACTGGTGGGAGATTTAATTTGCCCACTGTGAGCCTGCATTTCAGTTCCCTATTGTAATTTTTATTTGTGTTGAGGTTTTGTGGTTTTTTAAAAAAGTCAACTAGATTTATTTTTAAATTGAGCCAACCCAACATCAAAGGCAATAAGAGGAGGATGTTTAGATATTATAAAGAACTCCTGTATAATCTTTTATAGCTGTATTTTTTTTTTCAGAGCACGTATCAGTAAATGGTTAGGGGGCATTTCACTACCAACTTGCTGTATTTCTCTGACCTCAAACTACTCCCGTGGGTGAAAATCCCTTTGCAAGAGAATTTAGAAGCCCCTCTCTCCTCCTTCTCAACCTCTTAATCTAATCCTGTTTGTAACGCAGCATGCTGGGTGAAGAATAAGAAACACGGGCTTAAGTTCTTCCCCACTTCCCTCTGACTGTGGTTTACTTTTAGATATGAGGGACAGTTTCAGGCCAAAAATGGGACCGTTTGGTTCATGAATCATTTACTTGGTAGGCAGAAGAAAGTTTATATTGAAAATTTCTCTTAAAAAGAATAATAAATGATACCTGCAGAGTTTGGTTTTTAATACCAGGGAATTTTTTTATTCCAGTTACCTGTTCGGAAGGTACTTGTTTATTGGTTCATGGAGGAAACTCATTTTTAAATGATATGTATGTATAGTCATCGTTCCACAAAACAACTTTTTAAGACAGGTGCTATTAGCCCCATATACAGATGAGCAAATCGAGCCACGCCCCCTTTTCTGCTCCATAAATCTTGTCTTTGTAAACAGGAGTTGACTTACACTTGTGAGCATAACTTGTACACTTGTAAAGACAGTGTCTTCTGAGCTAAATGGTATATTACTGTTTGTGCTGCGGTGCTTCTGCTAGGTGACCAGCATCCATGCTGGTCATCAGGCTAACTTTGTGTACCAGGAAGACTAATGGTCCCAAACTAGCATTTTCTACTATCAAAAGAGAGGTTCTGCAAACCTACTGGCAGAAAAAACTGTATAATAGCAGGTGGCATTTTTATGGCCCAGTGTGCATGCAAATGTTCCGGTCTATAACCATGTATCTCGGAAACTCCAAGTTTTCCCCATGGGAAATTCACATCACCGCAGAACCAGTGAAGTGCTCAGCGGAGACTCCTGAAATCACTGGGCTCGCAGTGCCTGATTCCTTCTCTGGTTTTATTAATATAAGTAATGGCACAGGGTCACCTTCAGTCATCAGTATCCATAATTTTTCATTGATGGATCCTCCCCAGAACAGGGACTGGCAATCAGATTTCTCAATCAACATGGACTGTTGCTTATTCTGTGAGGCCGGCTATTTGTGAAGTTGCGGTTCACATCAAAAGCCATCTCAGATGTAGGAAGCGCCCCTCCCTTCACTCTTCATTCATTTCATTAAAGCAAATGGGCTTTGGAATCCAGTCCTGTTTCTACCACCTACTAACTTTGTTAATCTGGAGAATTTACTTAACTTTACTAAGCCTTGATTTTCTCAGCTATAAACTAGAGCTAATAAACCTATTTCCCAGAACAACTGAAATAATTAAACGAGTTAATGTATTTAAAACACCTTGCAGAAGACCTTATACAGGATCAATACTAAGTTTTTAACATTAAACAACCTCTATGTGCTTAATAACATTTAAGGAGAAGATTCAAGTAGATTAGAGTCTGTTGGAGAGTTCAAATATAAGAAAATAATTCTTACTATGAGAATTGCTCTATCTATCTATGCTAGAGTGTAAGGTGCCAACATCTAATATTTAAAGGAATTGGATAAGACTTCCAAGAGAAGCTGACATATTTTTTGAGTCCCCAGTAGAATGCATGGGGACATCACTTGGATCTCTGCAATAGATTAAATATAAACTTGAACTTACCTGTCCTAGAACAGAGCCCCACGTCCCCGTGGTTAACAAAAATTATGCCCTGTACCTATATTGATTTATTAAATGCATAGCTTTATCAATAAACATGTATATTGCAGAAGTAGACTTGGTTATAATTCCAGCAAATCCAATTAAATTCATGGTATTTATATACAAGTTTAATAACGAGAAAAACTCAAAGAGACTAAATATATATAAGTAATCAATACAATACTCTAATAAATTCAAGAGAAAAAAAGTGTGTAAATTATGATTCATCATCTTTCCACATAGCATATTTATAACTATATTTAATAGCCTAATTAGCAATAAAATTTTTATGAGTTAACGTCGTATGAGAACATGTCCTCCTACATTACTGAGTTTTATCTGTAGATTTGTAACATAACTATAATCATCTTGATGTGTTTCTTACCCATTTTATTCAATGAACCCAAATGAACTTGTGCTAATTATTAATACATGTTCAGCTGCCAGCCTTGGTTTTATAAGTTTGAATTTATATACCTTAGGAAGATATATGCTGTTTGGGGTTGTGAAGACTTCAGATCTTCCTGTTGTATAAACACAAAGAGAAAATACTTGTAAGAGAACCATAGTTTAGCAGTGTCTAAATTATCTTTCCTAAATGATTATTGCACAACCTTTAACTTGAGATGTTTTCCTAAATGACTAAGTAAAAAACATACAGTAAGATTCCTTTCTGGATATTTTCAGAACTCCTAGTTATAACTATGCACCAAATATGGATAAACACTGGATTATGCAGTACACAGGACCAATGCTGCCCATCCACATGGAATTCACGAACATTCTACAGCGCAAAAGGCTCCAGACTCTGATGTCAGTGGATGATTCTGTGGAAAGGGTAAGCATGTGAACCTCCCTCAGTGATAGTTTTTCATCCAACTTCCTTTGTGGAGACTCATTCTTGCCAATCCTGTTTTGGTTTTTTGTTTTGTCATGTTTAGTCTTTCATTTTCCAGCATCACCTTGAGAGAGAGTGTGTGTGTTCAGCGACTTCATCATCACTCCCTTGTCTTGGTGCCATTTTGCCTACCTCTCTGGACTGGTTCTTACGGAGCCAGTGACAAAGAGGAGAGAAAAAACAAATCCCCATAAGTCAGGAGCCACACTTGCAAATACCTTCAGAAATTAAGCCAATAATGGAAATGACGAAAGCAGGTCCAGTATAAGGCAGTAGGGAATGATGCGGATTGTGGTGAATGGGAAATTAAGGGCCCCGTCTAAGGCAAGCAGCAACTACTGAGCTCTGGCTAATTTTTGCTATGTAGAAATGTGCATCAAGTATCATCAGGTCCTCTGAATATTTAAAATAAGTGAGAAATACAAAAATTTTTATTTGTAATTTTCTGACTTTTGAAACATACCTTAAGCCAAGCAAGACATGCCTAAGGCTGAATTTAGCTGGATCAGGCTCAGAGGCAGCCTGTTTTTAACCCTTAATGATTAGATATGAGTGAGGATATTTTTTTTCCTGTTTGCGTCTTTTTTTATTCATTTATTTTTTTATTTTAGCGTATTATGGGGGTACAAATGTTAAGGTTACTTATATTGCCCATGCCCCCCTTCCCCCTCGAGTAAGAGCTTCAAGTATGTCCATCCCCCAAACGTTGCACATCTTACTCGTTGTGGTTGTATACACCCATCCCCTCCTCCCCCACCCACCCTCCTGACACCCGATAAATGTTACTCCTGTATGTCCTGAGTGAGGATATTAAAATGTGCTTTACCAATGGATTTTCAAAGTCAAGCCTATGAAGTTTGGAGGCGTAGAGATTGTTCCATGGGCTTTTAGTTTTGTTTTTGTTTTACCAAACAAGCAAATAAAACACGTACGTAGAATGTGCCAGATTCAAAACAGTCACATTTCAACTGTTACCATTGGATTTTTTTCCCTCTAGGACTGTAAGCAAATAGAACACGTGGATAATGTTCACGTCTGTCAGCCTTGTTAAAGTGACTCTCGCTTTTTAAAAATAATGGAAAAAAGATTTGGGGGAAATCGTGGCCACATGATTGAGCATTGTCTTACGCCATCGGGCTTGATTGTGACTTGTCGCTGTGCTGTATTTCAGCTGTATAACATGCTGGTGGAGACGGGGGAGCTGGAGAACACATACATCATCTACACCGCCGACCACGGTTACCATATTGGGCAGTTCGGACTGGTCAAGGGGAAATCCATGCCATATGACTTTGATATTCGTGTGCCTTTCTTTATCCGTGGTCCAAGCGTGGAACCCGGATCAATGTACGTATTCCTCTGTTCGCAACATTCAACTGTCCCAGCTTGTGTGCGCGCCTAAGATAATTCAATTACCAGTCTCAGTGTCTGGTTTCCTTTCATCCAGAACAAAAAAAGGATGTAAGTAGGCTGGTAATTTAGAAGATGAAAACCTTTTCCCTACTGCCACATCTCAAATTAACTGAAGTATACTATTTAAAGAGAAAGGAAAAAATAGCTATATCAGTGACTAATTCTCTCAGATTAACCAGAATCTGTGTCCTGTTGGCCTTTCTACACAGACAGAATATGATCTTTGGGAACATCATCTTTACTTCTTTGAGTCAGAGATATACTGTCATTTTTTAAAACAACCAGTGTCATCCTTTTAGTTTTTAATTTCTTCTTAATTATTACTAAAGAAATGTTTTTAGAAGAGAATTAAATTTTAAAAAGCATGAGTTTGTTTTAAAAGAAAGAGACCTGAAGGACTAGAGTTTAATTCCTGTCACCTAGGCTGGGCGCGGTGGCTCACGCCTGTAATCCTAGCACTCTGGGAGGCCGAGGCGGGCGGATTGCTCAAGTCAGGAGTTTGAAACCAGCCTGAGCGAGACCCCGTCTCTACCAAAAATAGGAAGAAATTAATCAATCAACTAAAAATATATATACAAAAAATTAGCCAGGCATGGTGGTGCATGCCTGTAGTCCCAGCTACTCGGGAGGCTGAGGCAGCAAGATTGCTTGAGCCCAGGAGTTTGAGGTTGCTGTGAGCTAGGCTGACGCCACGGCACTCACTCTAGCCTGGGCAACAAAACGAGACTCTGTCTCAAAAAAAAAAAAAAATTCTGTCACCTTAAGCAGGTCACTACATCCCTTTGCATGTCTATTTTCCTATCATACAGTGAGTCTATATGCCCTGCTGATCATGTCAAAATGTTTTGTATAAAATGAAATTGTGAAGCCAGGCATAGTGGCTCACGCCTGTAGTTCCAGCAACTCAGGAGGCTGAGGCAGGAGGATCACTTAGGGCCAGGAATTCAAGACCACCCCGGGCAACATAGTGATAGCCCATCTTTAAAAAATGAAATAAAAACTAGCCAGCCGTGGTGGCATGTGCCTGTCATCCCAGCTACTCAGGAGGCTGAGGTGGGAGGATCACTTGAGCCCACGAGTTTGATGCTGCAGTGAGCTATGATCACACCCCTGCACTGTAGTCCAAGCAACAGAGCAAGACCCCATCTCTTAAAAAAAAGAGAGAGATTGTGTACATGAAAGAATTATAGAAAGAGTAAAAGAAAAGGGTGGAAGTAGAATTCAGAGGCTGGAATGGCCCTTAAGAGGAGCATCTAGCCTGGACCCTTGAGGAAGCCGCTGAACAGACAGCATCAGCACCTGTCTCGGAGTCCCTGATTCTGGAAGTGGTAGCAATGGGCCCCAGAACCCAGATCTTCTGAATCTCATCCTTAGGCTTCACTGCCCCTGCATCACACCAATCCTGGGGAGAGGGCGATGGGTGTGAAGGGTTTCTTTGAAGAATATTATTATCTTTCTCAAGATCGTTACAAACACCCTGGGAATTGTCAGATCCACAGTGAGAAGGCTTTATGTTTGAAGGACCAGGTAGCATTGGTTGACTTCGACTCTAAAATCTGTATGTCCTTTTTTGGAACATTAAAGCCCTAGTTCAACAGAAGAGGCATGGACTATTGGTGTATGTGCCACAAAAACCATATATCAAGCCACGTCTCATTTGGCAGTGTGGTCAGAGCACAAGGGAGCCAGGTGTCTCTCCAGCCTGAGCCCTGGGAGGGTCCATTAATCCTGCCCGGTGTGCTTGCTGCTAATGACTCACCCACGCTGGCCAAGTGCCACCACCATCCCTAGGGGACCAGATGAGGGGTTGAGAGGAGTTGAAGGCCAACGAGTCACCACTGTGGAAAAAGAAGCCCTAAATGCCACCTTCCACAGGCGTTGGGTCTGGGTCATAACCATCTGTCCCTTTGCAGAGTGCCACAGATTGTTCTCAACATCGACTTGGCCCCTACGATCCTGGATATCGCTGGGCTCGACACACCTCCTGATGTGGATGGCAAGTCTGTCCTCAAACTTCTGGACCTGGAAAAGCCAGGTAACAGGTGCGTCAGTATTCCTGCTCTCAGCCAGCCCCAAACACACTGAGCTCTGGCTGGCCGCCAGACCAGCCAGCAACTGGAAAACATAGAGGCAAAATATGCTTTGCCCACGAGGATAGAGCCCAAGCTGAGCATTTCTCGGCTGTTCGTGAATAGCATATTGATGGAGATGCAGGCATGGTCTGTGGGAAGTGAGAGGTGTTTCTTTAAATAAACTGCTAGCCCAGATCCATTTGGAAAAACTTCCAGATGCCAACAGTAAATATTATTATTTTGCTTTCAGGTTTCGAACAAACAAGAAGGCCAGAATTTGGCGTGATACATTCCTAGTGGAAAGAGGGTAATTATTGGTTCCTGGGGTGATTCTGGGAACCAGTCCTAGTGGGCAGCTCTCCCTGCTGCGTATTTTTTCCCCTCCTTATTTTTGTTTACTAAGCATGCAGGATTTCGTAAGCCTAGTCACAAGATTGAATGGTTTGCTAATTATTCTCCACTGGCCAGCAGAGTAATTATGGCTACATCAGAATTGTAAAGGATAAATCCTCAAGCTGGTTAATGGATACAAAAATACAGTTAGATAGAAGGAACAAATTCTAGTATTTGATAGTACAATAGGGAAATTACAGTTAGCAATAATTTGTTGTGTATTTCAAAATAGCTAAAAGAGAAGAATTGTAATGTTGCCAACACAAAGAAAAGGTAAATAGTTGAGGTAATGGGTCTACCAATGATCTTGATTTGATCATTATATATTGTATACATGTGTCAAAATATCACATGTGCCCCAAAAATATGTACATGATATATCATAGATATATATCTAATTAGATATATCATATATAACTATGATATATCAATTAGAAAATACTCCCCCCAAAAAAAGGAATAAATTATCATAAGATAGGACCAAAGCCTTGACATGGGTATGGATTTACTATTGCATTTCTCAATGTTGGTCCTAAGCAGACCAGTTGATCAACTTTCTCAACCATCTTACCCAAGTTCTTCTCTAAGTAGCCTCCAAGGCTTGCCCAGCACCTCACTTTCTACTTCTTTTCCTGTGTGCCTTTCATAGTTTTAAATACATAAATTTATGCCATTGTAATTATTTCCATAGTCACTTGTGAATTTTTCCCCTTTTGATTCATAATGCTCATTGTCCTGTTTTGCTCCATACATAAACTGGGAGAGAGAAAAGTATGGATATAATTGTTTTTTTAACAAGAAGAACTTTGAACATGTAAAACGAAATATTTATGCCCAGAGTTTTGAAATTAATGCTTTGGGGCAGAAATGATTCTTCTTATCCTCACCTCTCATTGTCGTAGTGCCCAGTGTGTAATTTTCACAAAGGACTCATCAAATCTTGGACTCCTATAGACGAGCCTTAACATCTATTTCTTGTTGTTGAAAGAATGTGGGGTCATGTGACAGGGAAGAAAAAGAGAACAGGAAGGACTCAGGGCTGGTAATTCAGATCGCTTCTCGTGTAAGAAGCTTTTCCCTTTCTGTCAAAGCAAATTTCTACGCAAGAAGGAAGAATCCAGCAAGACTATCCAACAGTCAAATCACCTGCCCAAATACGAGAGGGTCAAAGAACTGTGCCAGCAGGCCAGGTACCAGACAGCCTGTGAACAGCCTGGGCAGGTGAGTGACACAGGCTTTCTTTGCCCCCACTCGTGTGCTTTTCCATTTCTTACATAGAAGATTTTCAACATACGATGTACATTTGTGTGTAAATAAGCTTTTCCTAGTGGTCACAGGGGCATGCTCACTGGGACACCTCTCCAATGACAGAATTGCCTGACTGGTCCACTCTGGGCCTCCTCATTGCCAGTTGGGCTCCCTCCAGTTAAAAATATATGGGGACCTCAGGGAGAGTTCTGTGCCAAAAGACACTGGTTTCCTCTTAGGAGAAGGTTCCTAGGGCTGCTATTGACTGGTCACCAAAGAGTAGTCAAGAGGCTACTTAGTCAAGACATGGGCAGATGCTCAGCCTCTAGGCAGTAACCCCTCCCAAGAGACATGGAGAAGTCATCCCACCCTAGGCTACAGTCGGACGTCACCTACCCCAGAATAGAGGACAGAATCCGTGACCAAGGTTAGGGAATGAAAAGGGAAACCACATTCTGTTTGTTTATTGTTTCTGCCTCTGCTCACAAAGGTTCTGACATCAAATATCTCATTAGAATGAATCCTCTTCGTTAACAGAAATCTTACTATAGAATCCAGGGCTGCCCAGAACTATTATCAATAAGAACAAAAGAAATAGTGTAGGATGAGTGAATACTGCTTTTAAGGAAAGTGAGAAAATAACACATGAACACCAACCACTTTAAGCACTTGATTGAAATCTATACTAGCTGAAAGAAAATGCTGTCTCATGAGAAGAGAGGAAATGAATTTCTGCAGCTTAGAACAAAATCAGAGGAAAGTGAAAAAAAAAAAACTAACATTTATTGAGCATTTGTCTCGTGTAAGGCACGATACACAGGATTTTATATGTATTCGCTCAACTTAATCCACACATCTGTCAAGGGAGGTAGACATTGGCACCCCCATTTTACAAAGGGGCAGCTGGCAATTGGCAAAGCTGGGGTCCAAACAGGACCCCAAATGTCCAAACAGCAATTGTCTGACTCCAACACACAGGCCACTTGCTACTTTCCAAGGTAAATTTCAATAACTAGGTAAAGAGAAGTTCAAATCTTTCAAGAGTCTTTTATCTGACCTCTAGCTATCCACACAGTTACCCAACACCAGTGCAAGGTATCAGACTGATGAAATGAGTAGCCCAGTTATTAAAATGGCCTCACTCATTATATTCTTATTATTTGGTATGTAGCTTATTGAATAGTCATTCGTAATAAACCACTTGATCCTTATACCCTGTATTTCTTCATGATTTTTTTTGTACACAGGATCCCTTTGAAATGCAAGAGGGTGGGGAGGGAGACCTGTTGAAGGAAGGGATAAAACCAAGCCTTCATGGCATCCTCGTAAGTTTTAATTTTCAAGTGTTTAGTGGAGAAGCTTAGACCTATTCATTGCCTTTTGATTTGAAGTTTTCAAATCTTTCTTATGGAAGCTCTAAGTATTATTATGAATAAAACCTCAGAATTGTTTTGTAGCTCTAAGATGATTTTTATGAGCCAGCCTCAATAGGCTAATTTACTTTTATTCAGGAGTTAGAAATGTTCAGTGTTAAATATATCTCTTGCAAATTGGTGATCTTGTTACTACTATGTTAGCCCCTGACGTGGTGAGCATTGTAACCATTTGGGAGTAAGGTACACTGCCTACCTTTCAGTATACAACCTTTCCATATGGCTTGCTCTGAATTTTAATGTATGTCCTAAAGGGCAAATGTAGCATAAACTAGATTATGGCACTTTGGCACAAGCTTTTCACTCATGTGCTGAACGCTAACTATGTTAAAGACTTAATTTTGCCTTTTTATATTTTTCTAAACTTGCTTTGCTGCCATGAGATGCTTTTATATCTGGCTCCCTGGGATGTTTCTCCGCTGCTTTATTTGTATGTGAATCAGTGTAAACTTCCATTACATGGATATATGAGCATGGAAACAGTGATCTCTTTTAGAAATACCTGAATCAACCCAGACCTACTGAATGAGAACCCCTAAGGGTGAAGCCCAGCAGTCTGTTTCAGTAAGTCTGGCAGGTGACTCAGGTGTTCCCGAAAGGGTGAGAAGTGCTGTTCTAGCGCACTGCTGTGATGGCTACAGTGCTTAGACCACAGAGCTTAAAAACCTGAGAGCTTCAAGAACAACTGATAGCTCTTTTGTGTTCTGTAAGATCGTTATCTCTTGGCTTTTTGCTATTTCTTTCTGGATACTTTGAAGACTGTCTTTTTGGAGCCAGTATCACTGACTTAAAAAAAGGAAGACAGGCCAGGCATGGTGGCTCAGGCCTGTAATCCTAGCACTCTGGGAGGCCGAGGTGGGAGGATCGCTCAAAATCAGGAGTTTGAGACCAGCCTGAGCAAGAGCGAGACCCCGTCTCTACTAAAAATAGAAAGAAATTAATTGACCAACTAAAAATATATAGAAAAAGATTAGCCAGGCATGGTGGCTCATGCCTGTAGTCCCAGCTACTGGGGAGGCTGAGGCAGGGGGATTGCTTGAGCTCAGGACTTTGAGGTTGCTGTGAGCTAGACTAACGCCATGGCACTCTAGCCCAGGCAACAACAACAAAAAAAAGGAAGATAAAGAATTCAGAATAATGACACTACACTGTCATTCAGGATCAAGGTGACAGCTGAGGCTAGAACTGACCTGCTTGGAATGTGCTCTCTTGACATTAGCTTCACAGCTGGTCTGTCCCCTGCTCCCCCTCCTCCTACGTAGGCTAACTGCCTTCATTCTAAGGCAATGTGATCTTAAGTCTGACCCTCCATGGGATATAGAGGAAAAATTAGCACTATTAGGCCACTCTCTCCACTTCTAATCCCCAAAGAGATGGCATTAGTCCCCCCAAACCCCCAACCCTCCTACCACACCTTCATGCCTGGTCACCTAAGGATTGTTTGGTAGAGTGTATTTGGCAACAAGGATGTGTGAAGTAGGGTATATAAAGGAAAGAGGAATTTGAGGTCAAAAGGTTTGGGTTAGAATATTGGCAGCCACCACTTTCTAGTTGTGTCTTCTTAAATAAGTCACTTAATTTCTCCTGAGTCTCAAGTTTTTTACTTCTAAAATGGAGAAAATTGATCTAACCCTTGTGAAGATTAAGTGATACGATATATGGAAAGTGCTAAGTGAGACTGAGATGATTTTTCTCCAGTGCATAAATATTGGATGGTGGTATTTTTTTTCCAGGCCATCTTACCTGTTGTTTTCATTCCTATGAAGCCAACAGGGAATTAGAATGGGCTGGAATCCCAGAGATTTGGCATAACTTCTCAACTACGCGAACACAACCACCAGCAGGGACTGATCAGAACAACATGGACATATATGTTTGCGTGACTTCCACGTTCCTGAATTAATATGAGACGGAGTGTGAGTTCCCAGCACTCTCTGAGCTAGGCATTATGGCCCTGAGCACATTTATGTACACACACTCTCCCCCACGTACAATCACACGTGTGCACTCTCATGTGCAAATCTCAGCTTCCGTCTTAAAATAATTTTGTTCAACAGAGAACGTAGAGCAGTGACACTCAATTCAGGCTACACATTAGAATCACCTGGGAGCATTTTAAATTACTGATGCATGACCTCACCCCAGCCCAACCAGGCTAAAATGTGTGGAGGTGAGGCCAAAAAATCCGTATTTTTTTTTAACAGGGCTAAAAACCACAGGCCTAAAATCACAAAGTGTCAAAGTTGGAAGGAATCTTAGAAATCTTCTAGCCGAATGATATTGTTTTCTTAATCATGAAATCTCAGTCCAGGAAACTTAAGCTACAAACCCAAAGCCAAAACTTACATCTCTTCACTTCACATTGAGTGCTTTCTTTCCTGTGACATGCTACCACTGCAAAATTGCAAGACAGTAGGTTTTCCCTTTGTCACTATGAATAGCAGTTGCCACTAACGATCGTTCTAGACCCTAATGTCACATTAGAATCATATGGGTAGCTTTAGAAATGCTGATGTTCAAGTCCCACTCCGGACAAATTAAATCAGAACCTCTGGGGCTGAGACCCAGGTAGCAGTGTGTTTTTCAAGCTTCTGGATGACTCCCGTGAGCAGCCAAGGTTGAGAACTACAAATGTCAAGTGAGCATTATTGGGTTGGTTTTATCCTCTTCTTCTTCTTCTAGGTGTAGATATTAACCCTTAAATAGAAATTACATAAAAGAGAAATTCCCTGGGCATCCAATTTGGAAGTATACTTTATATATTCTCTGGCATTTAGGAGGGAAAAGGCAGCTTGTTTTGTTTTTGTAAGACAAATACCATGTCTCTTTGATGAGTTGTTGAATTCCAGCAACTTTACAATTTAGCTTGCCTTTCTACTATCGTATCAATATAAAATCAAAGATTTATTTAGAATTCTGTAAGGACTCCAGCATCCAGCAAGCTCATGGTATTAAAATATTACAAAGGAAATTAGAATGTAGCTTGTTGAGTGTAAACTGGTCTAGCTCCAGGGTCTGTGTTCTTATCCAAAACTTATCCCTCTAGCCCTTTGTGACCAGCTGCAGAAAATGAATAAATAATAAGACATTTATCTGTAATATCTGGCTAGAATTGTAGTTTTAAAAAAAAACAAAAAACCCAATTTCAAAAAACCAATGAAACCCGGGTAAAAACCCAAGAAGGCCCAAAAAAAACAACCCCCAACCTACCCGAACCCAAGAAGGAAAACCAAAAAGAATGAACCCCCCGGGCCCCCCCCCAACGAAATGGCAACCGGAACCGGGCCCCGCTGTGGCTCTCCAGCCTTGACACCTTGCTCCCTTACCTCTCCAACCTACGCTGAAGGACGTGTCTGAACACTTCTGCATCTACTTAGATCTTTCACTGCTGTGCATTTGTTCCCAATAAATTAAACAAACATGAGGACACTTTACTCATAAAATGGATAATATGGCATCATTCTGTTTAATTTATACTGTATCTTTTTTCCTACCACCTTTTAACAGCCCACCCTGGTCAGGTTGCCTCCTCCGTCTCTT